TAGAGATAGAGAGAGACAGAGAGATAGAGAGAAAGATCGAGAGATAGAGATAGAGATAGAGATAGAGATGAAAGATCAGAGAGAGATAGAGAGATAGAGAGATAGAGAGAGAGAAAGATAGATAGATAGAGATAGAGAGAGATAGAGATAGATAGATAGATAGATAGATAGATAGATAGATAGAGAGAGAGAGATCATGTTTGTCCTTTTGCAGTCCTCAAACAGCGTTATCTAACATATTAGCAGACCAAGTGGGGGATGCTTAAACCTTTAAGGACAATGTAGGTACAGGTAAGTACAAAAAATTAAGTATCTGTGAAGTTTTCTAATAGTGGTGGGGAAGTGCGAAGATGTATTGGAATGGCTAAAGATCCATCCCAAAAGCAAGCCAATCCATTAAGAATAAAATTTCGTTAGAAACAAACAGTTCTGGACTGTTACATGATATCTGTCCTCTTGTATGGCAACGAATACTGGACCCTTCAAAGAGGAAGCGACTTAAAGCAACAGAAATGTATTTCTACAGAAAGATGCTGAGGATATAATGGAGCGAACATGTGATCTACGACGGGTTTTGGAGAAAATGGAAACTAAAAGGAAACTTCTTTTTAACATCAGGAAGAGGCATTTGAAATTCCCGGGGTTCATAATGAGAAAGAAGGGTTGGAAAATCTGATACTAACAAGACGGATAGATGGAAAGAGGGACTAAGGAAAGCAGCGCGTAACATACTTGATGGATTTAAGTAAATGAGTAGCAGAACAGGGTTTAGGAGAAATAACAAAAAGACTAAACATATTAAGAGCTATAAAGAACAAGGAGACGTGGAAGGCCATGGCCACTTGCGTCCTGAAGGGAGACAGCACATAAAAGAACGAATCGTGTAACACTGAGACCCGAAGATATATTAAAAAAGCTCAGCAAAGTATTAAGAGACAGAAAAAATCGTTAGAAACAAAGAAAATAGTATTGGATTGTTACGTGATATCTGTCTTCCTATATGGCAGCGAATGTTGGACAATCTCTTCAAAGATGAAGAGACTTAAAGCGACAGAATTGTGCTTCTACAGAAAGATACTGAGGATATGATGGAGCGAACATGTGAGCTACGACGGGGTTTGGGAGAGAATGGAAACAAAAGGGAAACTTATTCTTAACACCAGGAAGAGGCATTTGATATCTGTCCTTGAATGCTGATCAATCTCTTCAGAGATGAAGAAGACTTAAAGCAACAGAAATGTGGTTCTACAGAAAGATGCTGAGGATATCATTGCTAGAACATGTTCGCAGATTCTGGAGAAAATGAAAACAAAAAGGAAACTTATATGTAACATCAAAAAGGGACGATTGAAATTTCTGGGTCACGTAATGAGGAAGGAGGGCTCGGGAAATCTGATACTCACAGGACAGACTGAGGGAAAGGGAGAAAGAGGAAAGCAACGCGAAAAATAACTCATGAGCTTGAGTAAATGGATGACAGGACAGGGTTTGTGGGAAATAACAAAAATACAACACTTATTAAGTGATAGAATGGATAGGAAAGATGTGGAGAGCCATGGTCGCCTACACCCTGAAGATACACAGCACATAAAAGTAGAAGAAAACAGTATGTGCAAGCGAGCGGTGGGGTGGATAATAAATCTTTCCGTAACATTTTCTACGTCTTTGGCCATTTTAAAGACGTAATGAAAACCATAAAAATGCACCGTGTCCAAAATTTAGACTGTAATCCGTGTTCAATGAGCAAAGTGTAGACACACGCATTCTTCCTCGTAAATCAGAGCCGTTCGCAAGGTGTCAGATTGTGGGGGGGGTTCAATCGTTATGCCGAGAATTGTTGAACAAGTTGATCATGCTGCACCGACGGTGCTCTAGTCTTGGGAAAGTGCACATCACAAAAACAGAAGACTAGGTCCTGAATTCCTCCATGTGGAAAACATTGCCCTAATCACCTTTTATCAATGTTTATGGAGAGGAAATACTGGATATGAACACAGGAAGTGAGTAATGTAATAGTATTAAAGACATATGTGATAATTTACATCATTGGAATTACTCGGACTGTAGCCCGCATCTTTAGTGCCCTATTCATGACGTTTCGTCCGTTGTACACCTCGGCCTTCTTCTAGCGATTGGAAAATCAAACTGACCACTTTACTTCATCTACTGAGAAGATTGTTCCAGTTTCACGTGTCATGCCTCTTCTGGATGTGTCAGTTATCTCAATTTAACTCAACTGTACAAGATTTTGTTCACCACGGCAGTAGCCAGGTATTGAACTCTCAAATTTTTGGGTCAAGTTATTGGATCCAACCAAAACTTTTATCCACTAGACCATGTTTCCTTGAGGCAACAAGGATGAGGGCAACAGTCTCAACAATGTAAATAACGTAAAGAATTATGTTGTATCCTTAAAGCGGTTACAAACAGACAAAGATGGTACTCGTGTGAAGGAAAAACAACACGCGTGTAGATGAAAGAAGAGAGGTTTATTGTAAAAGAGAATACACCACTGAAAGACAGGGAATCGGGTGGCAGGCTAGTAATTCCCGAAGCAACCCCCCAGGTACATCCTGTGCTTACTATATATAACTATCGATATAGTCAGTCCAAATAGGCGATAGGGAATGTGGGACATTCTATTGCAACAAATTACAATACCACATCACAGATATAGAGATGTGTGTTAAATAATCTACTAGGTGGCCAAGAGAGTATTGGCAATGTATATCATGAAGAGCACATATAATATATTGGTCAAATTACCATTTCGGCACGTGGAGAACAGGTTCAGGACGGTCCCGTTGTTATCGTTTGGCAAGTCCAAATCATTCTAAAGAAATCAGGCGATCAAAGAACAGATCAATATGACTCCGTACTGCTAATAACTATGTCTCGTGTCTTATGTCGCCTTTACTGTACGTCTCTTGGGCTATCGCATAATGACCACTGGATGGATCATATTTATGTTGTGTTTATTGGTTAGAGTGTGATCTGTTTTTATGTTTGCGGCATAATACCAACAAGACGACATCTTTCTGTATTCATCCACAGTGCACACACTCAACCATGACATTTTAAGTGGTGTCATGAGTCGCAATAATCGATCATATTTGTCTCGAGGAAACGAACGATAAAAATAAGCTTGTTTAAACTGTTCTGCAGTCAACGGATACAAGAGACACGGATCACTGCATCGAAAGATGTTACTGTACGATCGGATACATACGAGAATAACGGTCTATATTGAAGCCTAAAGAGGATACGCATTGGTGGTGCGTCGATCTTGATAACATGGCTGAATTAATTCGTAAGCCATGTTCTGGACGGCCGCTTGAAACGATCGACGTATTATAAAAGTGACAGTAACAGAACTTACTATAAAAGTAATAAAATTACTGTTTATAAAAGTACTAATCGTTTAGTTGCATTCGGATAATGAGACTTAAACTAAGCCAACGAGACCGTCTTGATGGCGCGAAAGAATCAATTTGGAGTCCTAAAGACGCTCTATTTTATTCATCAAAATAATAAAAAGAAAATAACATTATATAAAGCCAAAGTGCACAGTGTTTTAAAGAAAATAGTACAATTTAATTTCGAACTGAAATTAATTGAAGAAACATTTTGGCTAGGTAAGTTTCAACTATTGAGGAGGAGTACTTAGCCAGACAATGAATTGCAACAATAAGTTTTAACATGACCCAATACATGCTGATATATATATATATATATATATATATATATATATATATATATATATATATATATTTGGTTGGATTGATATGAGTTTGTGACCTGGGTTTCACGCTTTTGCGATCGTCAGACAAACTGATTAATTTTTTAAATTTTGAGTTTATATACATTGCGTGTATTGATGTTATTAATCAAATATGTCAGATCTATCTCTGATATTGAGCGCTTTCTAATAAGTACCGCACATATATCATATAAATAATATATATATATATATATATATATATATATATATATATATATATATATATATATATGCGTATGTGTGTCTATGTGTGTGTGTGTATGTCTGTGTGAAAAGTGTATATATGCGTATGTGTGTCTATGTGTGTGTGTATGTCTGTGTGAAAAAGTATATATATATATATATATATATATATATATATATATATATAAAATAAGATACGAAACTATTGCTGTTTTCTAGCGATTTAAGGTTTCATGTGGACCCTCACTTTGTTATACGGCTCTTTCTGACTATATGAGGGTGGACTGAAAAGTTCATACGATGACGCTGAAAGAATGGGTCTAGAGCTGTATAATCTTCCATGCATTAATTCCAAATCTTGTTATTAATAACAGTATTGTCTCTTTGTAGGTAAAATGATATCTGACGGTTCAATGTCGAAGGAAAACCATCAAGAACTCTACATAAACTTCGTAACATGAGCTGATATTTTGCATCGAGGGCAAAAAAACGTCAGCTCATCCAGTAAAAAATTTCTTTGCGTGTAAGTTTGCCTTGGTTTTTGCCAAAAGTCGTAGCCACCTTATCGATTTTTTTCTGGCAAAACCGGGGGTCCAAGCGATTGAAAAGTTTGCCTTGACCTATTGACGTAAACTTGCAACATGTTTGTACAATTTTATCGAAATTGGTCGAGAAATGTGGATGTGCATGAATAGCACACACACACACACACAGGCACACACTGACACAGACAGAGACAACTTTTGTTTTATATATATATATATATATATATATATATGTGTGTGTGTGTGTGTGTGTGTGTGTGTGTGTGTGTGTGTGTGTGTGTGTGTTGCAAGAATTCAGATATAAATAAAAATATATATCTGTAAAAAGACAAAATGAAGAAAGACAGAAAGAAAACGTCAGATTGAAAAATATTTATGAGGGTTCTTAGTTTTTAAGTTTTGAATATCTAACGATATTTATACTCCTGTTTTTTAAATACAGGCTACGACAGAAATATTTCCCACATAAAACTCCTACATAATGTTAAGACATTAGTAGTAATGGTTTTTTTTCTCTAGGTAATATCTTCCAATTATGCCGGATTTATTTCCGCCGCACACTGGTTACGAGGACGAAACTCATAAAGAAACTTTTTTCCTTTTGTCTATTTTCACACACACACACACACACACACACCTATATATATATATATATATATATATATATATATATATATATATATATATATATATTCAAACAGGTTTCG